TGCGGAGAAACCGGAACCCTTATTCACTGTTGGTGGGAGTGTAAAATGGTACAACCACTGTGGAAGGTGGTACCTTATTTCCCTTAAACAAACTACATTATTTCAATTATTAAGGTACTTGGTATGATGAGTCTGAGTTTGATACACATATTTAAAAAAGGACAACTTTGCACAGAAGAGGAAGGGGGTTGAGATGGGAAAGAAAGCATGGGCAGAGCAAGATCATAAAGATTCATGAGGGTGATGAGGTTATGTTGTGGTTTGATGCTGTTGCGCTGACTACTATAGATTGTGACCTACTGCAAAGCAAATTGAAGCCTCGTCCTACCCCGTGCCATCCTCACACTCTCTACCTTGCTCAAGCTCCCTGTTGTAGTTCACTAGTCAAAGTACCATGTTTAGAGTCTTCCTCTCTCTCACTCACTTTCCACCTTTCCAAGCTGTCCGATGTCTTTTCCAGGGACTGGCACGTCTTGATGATATGCCCAAAATATATGAGATGAGTTTCAAAATCACCACATCCAAAAAGCATCCTGGTTACACTTTCTCCAAAATAATTTTGTGCTTTTATGAGAACGTGGTATATTCAATACTCCTAGCAAACAACACAGTTCGAAGTCATCAAATCGTCTTCAGTTTCCTTATTCATTGCCTAATGTTTGTATGCATAAGAAGTAATGGAAAATATTATTTCCTGGTGTTAAGTGGGAAGGGATTTTTACCAGGAAAATTTCAAGAAGTTTAATTGTTATATGCCATTGATTCAGAATCAACTCATAGCTGACCATCCAGCAGGTTTACAGAGACAATGAATTAAACAGAAGAGATTGTCGATCTTTTTCCTCCAGAGCAGCTAGTGGTTTTGAACCATGTGCCTTTGAATTGACAGTACAGCTCCTTAATCACTAAGCTACCACAACTCTCTGGTGGGCACTGTTGTTATGTGCCATTGAATCGCTTGTGACTCACAGCTGTCCTATGTACAGCAGCTCTGAGGCCCACCCTGTTCTGAGCCACTCTCACTGACTCAAATACACCTGCCCTCATTACACCAGTTACTTTATCAACACATCTAATCCTGAATCTTCCTTTCTTACACTGTCTTTCTACTCTTTCAAGCATTATGTCCTCCAAGGACTGGCTCATCCTAGCTACATATCCAAAGTGTGGGTGATTAAGCTTCAAAATCCTAGCCTCCAAGAAGAAACTTGGTTTCACCCTCTCCAAGACAGACTTATTTGTTTTCTTGATGGTCCATCATATGTTCAAGACTCTTCTCTAGCACCACAACTCAAAGGCATCAATTGTTCTTCAGTCACTTAGATATTGTACAGCTCTATGATACATAACAAGTAATTGGAGGACTCTGGCCTAGATCTGTCACACCTTAGTCTCTAGACTGACTTCGCTGCTTCTCAGGACTCTGGAGAGGTCCCTGAGAGCAGATTTTCCCAGTACAATTTGTCTTTCGATGTCCTGACTACTGCTGCCAAGAGTGTTGAATGTGAAACCAAATAAGCTATAATTTTTAACAACCTCAATCTCTTCTCTATCTATTATCATTCTGCCAATTGGTCCAGTGATGTGAATCTTTGCCTTCATGATATTGAGCTTCAATCCTTCTTGAAGACTACAGTCCTTGACCTTCTTGACTTCAAATCCTCCTCAGTTTCAGCAAAGTTTTGTCATCTGCATAACATAGGTTTTGATGAGTCTTCCTCCACTCCTGATACCACATTCCTCTTCATAAAGTCCAAACTCCCAAACTATCTGTTCTGCATATAGACATCCTTGACACTCTAGTTTCCTGATTTTGAACCCTGCAGTATTTTTTTGCTCTGTTCTGAGGACTGCTTTCTGGTCAGAGTATAGGTTTCACATGAGCACAAAGTGTTCTGAGAGTCCCTTTCTCATCAAGGTTAATCACAATGTCTTGTGATCTACACAATCAAATGCCTTTGCATAGTCAATGAAACACACTTTGCTTTCTGCGAAGATCCATCTGATTTTAAAG